ACTTTTTCTGACTACAGTCTGTATCCCTAAAAGAAAATTCAAGAGTCCATTAAATTGCTTTTAATAACAAAAATAGAAAGTGGATCTTCTTAGAAGTGATAAACAAGGAAACTAAAATAGAGCTATATTTCATGAATTAGGCAAATAATTAAAATTAGCATTTAAATGACATATTATTTAATCATATAACAACTAATTTATAAACATTTAATATTAGAATTCTCTTTTCCCGTATACTTCTACTGCTCATTCCTCCAATAATCCCTTTACTCAGCCTCCTCCTTGAGAAAAAGGGAAAGTTAACAAACCAGATCCAAAGGAAACCCTTTCCTTCCAGAGGAAAATAAAAGTGGTGAGCTCTCAGTATTTTCCACGATATATTTTATGAAAATAAAATCTGGGTTTTACTGCTGTGGGAAGCGGAGTGTGTGGTGACAGTAACGCCACTTGCACGTGATTTGGAGAAATGCCGGTGGTGTGATTATTTCACATGGAAATTGAGTGTGTTAACTGTAGCTCTGCCAGACCAGAGCGCACTGACTCGTCAAACCGAAGGAGTACGACCAGGCTCTGGAAACTATGACCTATTTTATTGGTATCACAACTATAGGCTCATTATAAAACCAAACAAAGTTGCAATTTGTGCAGGAAATATTCATTTCTTAAGAAAATAATTTAATTTTCAGCACTCAGCAGAAGCACTTTTAGTTGCTATACATGTATTTTCTTGTGATACTCTGACTGTCTATAAAGACGGGGTCCACGGAGGCCACCTTCGCTGCTATGAAGGAGTGCACGCAGTGCAAAACGGCTGTCAGGTCCTGAAATTCGAGTTCCTGTAAGAAAAATAAAATAAAATGTGTGCACTATGAATATTAGTAAAATGCGTTACAAAAACATTTAACCAATTCTTTACTTTGTAAACTCCAAGCAAGTTAAACCGAGATTGAATTTCTTATTTTCTTGTAACTCACATAGGTTAATATGCATTTCCTCTATCCGGTGTCTTACTCTGACCCGTGCAGAGTCTTAAGTCTCCTGATCAACAGTGTCATGATTTCAGTCTTCACTAAAGCATGGCCTGCTCAGCGCCCACGGTGATGCTGTGACACGGATCTCAGTACAGCAGACCTCACAGTATTCGCAGTTCAGTGGAACTAATCAGTGTGCTTCAGCCCTGTGTGTGTGTGCATGTGTGCACGTGCATGTGTGTGCCTGTGTACATGTGTGGTTGTGCATGTGTGTGCCTGCATGTTTATGTGCATGCATGTGTGTGGGGGTGGGTGTGCATGCATGCATCCTTGCAAGTGCATTGTGTGTGTGCATGTATGTGCATGCGTGTGTACCTCATAACAAAGACCCTCCTTGGCAGGAACAGCCAACAGCTGTGTGGTGCTGATGAGCAGGGTGCACGGGGTGCGAGGACATGGGAGTGACTTTGGTGCCTCCTCAGCCTGTTGCCATGCCAACAGGAGAAATAAGAAGTGATGCTCAAGGAGGCAAGTGGTTTCCCCATCAGGAAAGAAGAGAATAAAAAATAATCAAAATAAACTCCTAGACCCCTCCTTCCCCATTTTAAAGACCCCAAACACTATTTAGAAGCAAAAATGAGCCACAAACTGATATCATTCCTGTTCCTGCAATGCCCCCTGACAAGTCCCCAGGCCAACAAGCAAGTCAGGAACGGACCCAGAGCTGAATGAGAAGCGAAACAAACTGCTTCAAAGTTAAGCTGTTATTGGGAAAAACAATCTTAACATCTTAAGGTTTTCGAGGGTGAAACAGGAATCCTCATCATTCTGCCACCCCATTTTAACTGTGGGGGAAGAGCTTTAAATGCCTTATTCTGATTTTTTCCCCTTCTATTTGGTGTAATAAAATTCCAAAATAATTAAGAACAGCAAAATTCCTTTTGAGGTGACTGCTAATTGATTGACATCCTAATAACTAAATTTTGTCGAAATTCTAGCATATTATAAACCATTGAGATGGCATCAGAAAGAAAGCTGTATCATTTTCAAGGAAAACAACAACAAACTCGGCTTGTCTATTCTATAAGCATGCTCCTTCAAGCACGTCTAAAGGCAGGACCTCTGATATTTTAATTTTGGGTCAAGAGGGAGGGACAGGGACAGGAGGACAGACCCCGAGCACGAGAGAGGGCAGCACACACTGGGCAGGCGTCCCTCCCACCACCCATCTCGGCTTCTCTGAGCTGCTTCTCTTTGTAACCCAAGATCCGACACCTCAAAAATGACTTCACAGTTCCTTTAAATGTGAAGCCCACTTCGGTCCCTTTCTTGGTCTGCCGTGCAGGCCTTCCTTCTAGAAGCTGCTCCTTTCCTGGGATGGTTATAGGATGCAGGTGGGCGGCCAGAGTCCTGTGGGAGGTCGACATGGACAATGGGAGAGGAAGGCCAGGATTTCTAGTTTGGTGTGGCCGGGTGGGAAGCACATACCTGAAGCTTGCTGTGTTACCTCTGCTGCCAGTGGAGAGAGAGAGCCTGCAGGAGAGTGAATTCAGCACAGGGGGACCCCCTCTCAGAGAGGGACAGAGAAATGGGTGACACTGGGTGGCTGAGCTTGGAGGAGCCCGGACTGCCCAGTTACAGGAACCAAAGGAGTCCCCTTTTCTTCATTCTACTTTGAATTAAATCCCTCCTTTGCATGTGAACGATCTTAACTTTGATAGCTACACGATTGATTCCTGTTGATTGATTATTGTTTTTTTGACTTTTTCTGAGTGATACTGAAATGCTCAACCTCCTGCAAAAGCTTCATAATATTTAAGTAGTTTCATGAAGAATCACCACCTCACTTCTTACTCAGCACCCCTTGCCCCGGTCATTTGCAGAATCCAGAAGCTGCCCAGTGCCTGTGCCAAACTTGAATTCCAGCTGGAGCCACTAGCTATACCCACACCCTGAGATTTTACTCAGAATCTTTCATTCATTGTGATTCATCCCTGGAAAAGGGGAGAATCAAGTAATTTTCTAGAAGAAACACAATGTTCTTACAAACTTAACACACACTTAATTCAGTTTATGTATGTGTTTCCACGTACACAGTAATTACTGAGCTTTTGAAAAAAAGAGCCATAATGTGCACATCATTTATGCTTCAGGGTCTTAGTTTAATATATGCAAATTGGAAATTGCTTTTCAAGTTCCAAAAACACTTATCCAATGGTAGCACAACACTGAAACAAGGAGCCAACCACCACCAGCATTAATGCACAGATCCAAACGCTACATCAGTGACTTTTGGTCTCGTATGTTGAAGCCACACGGCAAGATCTCTGACAGCGCCAGCAGAACACAGTGAAATCACACCATGAATCTCCACGTCAGATCTCGGTCAACAGTGCTGAAATCCAGGAATCAATTAAAGCTCCAATTCTATCTTTTTTAGGACAGTGAATAAGCAGGCACCCTGTGAACATTTCACAGAACAGCTTTGATTCAGCCAGAGATCAAGGCATGGTATCTCTGGTCTGGCTGATTTCCTAACCAAATACTACCAGCAAGGCTGACCTGAATTACAGCTCTGCAACCAGAGCTGAGCAGAAACAGATTCTGACAAAATTCTGTTGGAAGTGAAAGCTCATGTTGAATTCTAAGTCTGCGTATCCATCACTCCCTCCTGTGCTCCTCAAGCACCTGTGCACGTCTGTCACAGGCTGTCACACCTGGACCCCGCAGAAGGACAGACAGTAAATGTATGTTTGTGAGACACTAAATGTGTAGTAACTTGTTATAGCACCAATAGAAAATAACACAGGTGACTTTAGATAATTTAATGTACATTTTTCTGTGGAGACGAGTGTGATAGTACATTTTCTGTGCTCACAAATGTGAAGGAGTGAAGATAAATGACCAATTTTGGTTGAAAGAATTGAGGTTTTCTTTTTTTATAGTATTGCTAAACAGAAAAAAGATATGGAAAAACTAAAATTCAATACCCATTCATGATTAAAAAAAAACCACTCAATCAACTAGAACTAGAAGGGAGATAATCTTAATATACTAAAGGCTATTTATGAAAAGCCCACAGATAACATCATACTCAAGGATGAGAGACTGAAAGTTTCTCCTCTAAGATCAGGAACAAGACAAGGATGCCCACTCTCGCCATTTCTATTCAACACAGTACGGGAAACTCTAGCCAGAGCAATTAGGCAAGAAAAAGAAACAAAAGGCATCCAAATCAGAAAGGAAGAAGTAAAATTGTCTTTATTTCCAGATGACATGATATTATATGTAGAAAATCAAATATTCCACAAAAAAACTGTTAGAACCAATAAATGAATTTAGTGAAATTGCACGATAAAAAATCAACAGCTGAAAATCAGTTGCATTTCTATACACTAACAATGAACAATCCAAAAAGGAAATTTAAAAAACTATCCCATTTGCAATAGCATCAAAAAGAATAAAATACTTAGGAATAAATTTAACCAAAGATGTGGAAGATCTGTACACTAAGAACTAAAACACATTGCTGAAAGAAATTAAAGAAGACAAATAAATGGAAAAACATTTCAAGTTCATGAATTAGAAGACTAAATATTGTTAAAATGTCCATACTACCCAAAGCAATCTACAGATTCAATGCAATCATTATCAAAATCCCAATGGCATTTTTTGTAGAAATAATAAAATCCATCCTAAAATTCATATGGAACCACAAAGGACTCTGTATAGCCAAAACAATTTTGACACAGAGGAACAAAGCTAGAGGCCTCATACTTCCTGACTCCAAAACATTACAAAGCTATAGTAATCAGAACAATGTGGTACTGGCATAAAAACAGAGATAGAGATCAATGGAACAGAATGGAGAGCCCAGAAATAAACTCACTCATATGTGGTCAACTTATCTTTGACAAGGGCACCAAAAATACACAATGGGGGAAGCAGCTAGTTTCTTCAATAAATGGTGCTGGGAAAACCGGACAGCCTCATGCAAAAGAATGAAATTGGACCCTTGTCTTACACCACTCACAAAAATCAACTCAAAATGGATTAAAGACTTAAAGGTAAAACCTAAAACTATAAAACTCCTAGAAGAAAACATAGGGGGCAAGCTTCATGACGATGGTCTTGGCAATGATTTCAATGATTTCATGGATATGACACCAAATACACAGGAAACAAAAGTAAAAATACACAATTGGGACCACATCAAACTAAAAACCTTCTGTGCAGCAAAGGAAACCATCAACAAAACGAAAAGACAACCTAACAATTGGGAGAAGATATTTGCAAATCATATATCTGATAAGGGGTTAATATCCAAAATATATCAAGAACTCCTGTAGCCAAATAGCAAAAAACCCCAAATAACCTGATTTAAAATGGGCAAAGGGCTTGAATAAACATTTCTCCAAAGAGGACATACGAATGGTCAACAGGTATACGAAAAGATGCTCAACATCACTAATTATCAGGGAAATGAGTCATCGACTCACATCTGAGGTGTGGGACATCACCACAATGAGATATCATCTCATACCTGTTAGGATTGCCTTATCCAAAAAGAAACATAACAACATAAAACAAAACCGTAGAAAGTTACAAGTATTGTTGAGGATGTGGAGAAAAGGGAACCCTTCACAGTCTTGGTAAGAATTGAAATGGTGCACTATAAAAAATAAAAAACTGCTATAGAAAACAGAATAGATGTTCCTCAAAAAATTAAAAATAGAACTGCTATATGATCCAACAATCTCACTTTTGGATAAACATCCAAAATAATTGAAAGCAGAGACTCAAAGAGATATTTACACTCCCATGTTCATTGCAACATTATTCACAATAGCCAAGAGGTGGAAATA